TAGCTTGGAACTGAGAAGAGCCATGAGGAATGAAAGCATGCATCTTCTGAAAAAAACAGAACAAGGGTACTTGTGGGCTTCAGAATTAGAATACAGTCAAAGATAAGGTTACTGACAGGAGTAGTGGGGTCTGTCACGAGAAGGCACTAAGAGCTTTCAACACTAGAGTTGTGGCTCAGATCAAAACCAGAACTCAGCTATTACTGGACAATGCTATGGGTTTCATATCTAAAAATGGTGTAAGTATAGGTTGTTAAAGCATGTTAAAGGACTTGTTTATTGTTCAAAGTATTGGGTCACACATCAGCTGTTACTTACAATCAAAAACCATTAATACTTTATCTTTATAAAAAGCATATAATGGCACAAATGAACTGTCCTTTAGTTGATGTACTCCAGGAAAGGTCTGGGGGCAGATACAGCAGGACAAATAAAACAATTCTGATAAAGGGATGTAATTGGAAAGTCATGGTAAAAATAACACTGAATTAGATTAGGAAAGAAAAGATTCGAAAGATCCGGACATCCTGACCAGTAAGAACGAGTAATACGTGGAGGGAGCTTGCCCTTGTCTCGAGTGCTATTACATTTTACAGCCCTTACGGTATCCTGAGGACACCACATGCATGCTCACCTATGCCCGTCTGTGTCCTAACTCTGAAGCAACCGTAGACATTAATGACATTTTTGAGTTTCCTTACTTCACTGATTACAGATAATATGTTCTTGACATTAATGTTCACACTTGCTGTGTTTCCAGCCTAAAATGAGGTACAAAGTGACTAACAGGATGTTGTGAAAACAAAAATAGAAACAATGCAATCCTTCCTGCTGTGACTCAGGTTTAGTGTCTTCTCTGTGAACTATGAAAAGTACGCTAGAAATCAAAATCAAATCTCTCCTTTCCAGAAGACATATTCTAATAAAACATGATGCAGGGGCCGGGGAGATGGCTCAGTAGAAAAGCGCTCTCCTGGCAAGCACAAGGGCCAGAGTTCAATCCCCAGTTCCGCCAAAAAATAAAATAAATAAATAAATAAAAATAAAAAGGTATTCTTTAAAAAAAAAATGCAGTACATCTAAAATTTTATCAAATTTTATAAAAATGAGAAGGAAAAAGAAAATTTAAAGAAAAGGGAGACTATTATTTTTCTCTCCCCAAAGAAAGTAAAACTGTAGAGAAGTAACATATACTTACCGTGTTCACTGGATTCTCTTACATAAGGCTTCAGGTGGGACATTTTGATAGGTCTTTTAAGCCTCATCCCCGTATTGTCTCTGAGGACAGCACAGCCACTTTCTGTAATATAGTCTATGACACAAGGTCCAACCCATTCCGACTGGAACCGACCATCTTTCCACCGATTTTTCCTCTGTCTTAAAACTTCATGACCCACTTTTAAATGAAATGGATTGGACTGCTTTGGTTTCTTCTTAAGAATGATCTTGCTTCTATGTAGTCCATTCAAACTGTTCTCCATCTACAAGTATAAAAAAATATAACCTATGAAAATTTATTTCTGGAAATAAATGTAGATGATAAGTGACAAAATGGTAATTTCCTGAGATGCTATAAAAAGTTAGCCATCTCAGATGCCCATTTCTGGACTTGGTCTTTAAATTCTGGGGCCCTAGTGTTTTTAGTTCTTTCTAAATTCTAGAGAGCAGACCTTTGTCTAAGTACTTATTTGTCATGATTTTTTTCCAAATTTATGGGTTGTCTTTTCACTTTGTTGGTAATTTCTTTTGACATGCAAAAACTTCTCAGTACGAGCAGGTCCCAGTTGTTAATTCTTTCAAGTGTTTCCTGAGTGATTTGATTTTTGTTCATGAACTCTTTGCCTACTGTGCTTAAGGAGAGTCACATGGAGAGAAAACATTCTCTCAGGATTTCACAGAGAGCACACTGGCCAAGCAATGGCTGTGACTCATCCACATGGCTGACACTGACAAAGGATCTACAATCTGAGGTACAGGATCTCAAGATAAATCCTGAGGGGACTTCACTGACCTTCTCAGACCAAAAAGCTACAACTCTTGTTGCACAGGTCCTGCTTTACCTTGGTCTTAACCATCCAGCAGAAAAGTATGAAGACAAAATATAGAAAGTAAAGCCATGCTGTTATGTTGAGCTGTAGGGGACTCAGGTCAATAATTTCTGACATTGCCAGTCAAGCGGAAGACCCAATACTATTATGGGCTACTGGACTCCTTTAGAATATTTTGCTGAGTTAACACACCTATAATATTTAAATGACAGAACTAAACAAAAAAGGGGATACAGATGAATGTCCATTTTGTATCTGTGTATACAAAATGGTTAGGATAGATATATAGCTACATTCTCTTAATGAATAGAGGGATTTGTTCTAATACTGTTTGTAAATAGGATATCATGTCTACATCTTGTACAGCAAATAACCACTAGGAAGAGAGTATGGAATGTGTTAATTATTGAAACTGTCCTACCAATTTGATTTGAAACTGTCTCATTGCTGTTTCTCAATAAAATTATGGAAAAAAAAAGTTAGCTACCACTCCTTAATTCTTAAAGCAACATTTTAAAGTGAATAATCGTTCCCCCACTTTACATAGAAGGTAAACGAACATAGGTTTAGTAATTTTCCAAAGTCAAACTCCTAGAAACAGTACAACTACACTTAAACTCAGGATTTTTCATTATCTCTAAAATTCATAGTTTCTCATTATTGTCTGATACATTTTTTAATGAGCATTTATCATTTAACCAAGACAAGCAAAACTTGATAGGTAAAAAATTTTGGTTTAAAGGTTTATCAAGGGCCTGCCAAATAGCTCAATGGATTAAAGTGCCTGCAAGCAGGCACAGGGACCGGGGATTCAATCCCTGGGCCTGCCATGCTGTGGGGTGCAGAGATGGCAATTGAGACTGGGCGTGATGGCACATGATTGTAATTCCATCTTTTGGGAGGCTGTAAACAGGCGGATCACTACAATTGTGTTCTAGTAGTGAGACCCTGAACACCTTGTAGACCTTTCCCTAAAATACAAAAAAGACCCCATCAAAATAAATATTACTTCATAGAATTTTATAGTTTTCTATTAAATAGCATCACCTGGCCCACCGAAGTTGCTTTTGTCTCCATTATTTTTTCAGCTTCTTTGATTGCATCTAGAATCCTGGCGAACATGCTTGTGTTATCAGCACCTACTCCATGAGGAGTGTGTAAAGTCTCTGGCATATAAGGATTGCGATTAAACATTTGAAAATATGGTGTTTTAGCAGGCTCCTATTTAAAAAAAAAACAAACAAGCATCAAATCTGTAACAAAACTTTTTTAAAATTTATAACCTAGAAGCACAGAAGTAATAAAAAGGTACCTACCAAGTGGGCGGCATTGAAGGCAAAGGAAACGGCTGGTAAGTACTCGTCCCAGTTGTCTGGGTAGTCAGCACAGTGTTTGGAGAGAAACGCTTTGACTATTCTAGGTGTACTTTCAGTTGGATCCACAGTTCCAGAGGTATGAGAAATTACAATCTCTTTTATACCAAACACTCTACACAGTTCAACATTGATCTGAAAAATAGATAAAACAAATTTTCTTTATTTTCTATTTTGCTTTATTTTGAAACAGACTCTTATTATGGAGTATACACTGGCCTTGATTTCAATATATACCAATATGCTTGGCTCCACAAGGACTTTTTAAAGTTTGTATTGTCCAACTGATTTAAAAAATGACTACAAAAGAATTTGATGCTTGTCCCTGTCACTGATCTTAGCCATTCTAAAGAAAGATGTACATAGTTTAAAATTGGAGTCACAACTGTAAGTCCTCACTATGTGCTGTCAACATAGTTCATTATTGTTTTTGTTAAACTTTAAAATTACTTTATTTATCCTATTTTAAAGTCAAGAATCTGAAGCTTTGGGAGGTTTTTTTTTTTTTTTTTACCAAAATTAAAAATTTAACAAGGACATGAAAGCCCAGAATTTAGTACTAATTTAGCAGTTAATTTTCTAATTCAGTAGATGCTGGCGCCAATAAATGCTATACCACACCAGTTAACACACACTCAGTTTCTTGGTTTGTAAGATGAGGAAACCCCTGACCTTAACTCTTCTAAGGGTTACCTAAATTAATGTTTGAAAAGCATTAACAGTTCTTGGCAAGTAGTACTTCGTAACTTAACTGCTACTGTTGTTATTACAGTTAATATGGGTAGGGTCTAAAAGAAGTCAAAATGAGATTACAAAATTTTATAGTAAGCAGCAACTCTTGTATGTGTCTTCCTTATTACTTTTAATTGGGCTAAGATTTGGTTAATCTATTTATCTTTCTGTACATATTTGTTATTTTGCTACAGTAATCTAACTCAGAGCCTCACGCTTGCCACACAAGCTCTGTGTCACTGAGCTATATCCCCATCTCCAGTTTACCTTTTCAAAGAAGAAAATTTCAGACAAGTATTAGAAAAACTAAAAAGTTCCAAAGTTAATCAAAGAAAAGCTAGTAAAAAAAAAAAAAAAAAAAAAAAAAAAAAAGACATTTCCCTAGTTCCTTAGGAGACAAGCATGGTCCTGCATCAGTGCTGGTTGGACAAGAGGTGAGGGAAAGCTGTCACTTGCATGTCCTGGTTCTGCCCCCACCCCCCTCCTTTCTGTACAAAACATGGATACTGTGAGTACCACTCACAGTCACATCCTGAAGATGA